CTTATGTTGTACTCCGATATAACTGACGTAGGGATCAAAGAATAATAGCACCCCTAAACCAGATCAACAATTCCTGGTATTAATCATCTTGGGAAAAGGTAGGGCCCAAGACAAAAAACTGCAATACGGAAAACATGGGAGAGAGGACTGCTGACCCCCCATGAACTTCTCTCTTTCTTTGCATCTCAACTGAGTCTTGAGGTTTGATCTAAGCTAGTGATCCTTGGTGGCGGGTGATAGGAGGCACCAGCCCCACGAGAACTTCAGGGAACACCATCCATATGGGACACAATGAAAACCACGTATGTAGACATAATGTAAGCCATGCGCCTAGAGTTGTGCCGCACTGGGAGATAGCCCTGAGGGTACCCATCAAAAAAGGCAGGTGAGGCATTAGGGGCTGTAAGGCCTGCAAGCCCAAGAGAAAGTAAGTCAGATTGTCTGCCTGGGAGCTGATCACTGCTTCACTTCTCTGTAGTTATACCCTATCCTGCATCAAAATCTTGTGTAGTAGAAACTTTAAAAAATGCTATTTCAGAATTATTCTTATTAAAAACAAAACAAAAAACCTCTTTATTTTGGGAAAACATTTTTAACTTAGAGTATCTGGCTATAGAAGGTGTGATGACTCCACTTGCACCAGTTTTAGCTAGATATGAGAGATTCGTTTATTCAAAAAGAAAATTGCTCTAAGAAAGCAACAGGATTTTAGGGTTTGGACTGGAAAAAAATATCTTATTATATGAGAATTATACTTGGGGAGCTCTAAAAGAAAAGTGGGGTGGCTGAATAACATTGTGGGGCAGGTATTGGGGTGATGGGAGTAGAGAAAAGTTGGTCACTGGGAAATGCCCTGTAGAGGAGGGTGACTGATGTAATTCAGGACATTGAGGTCTAGTATGCTATTTAAATCTATTTCTGGTTCTGTTCTAGAATATAAATTGCCCCTACTGCCATCACCCATCCACATTTCCCTACTCTAAACAGTAGCCTTGTATATTTGGCACTTTGTGGAAGGAAGAGGTAGAGGGACAAAGTGGTATGGGAAAAGAGGATAGCTACTAGAGGCACGCCAACTAGCAGTGATAGAGAATTCAGGAGAAAAGAGGTTAAGAGAGAGAGGCGACCATGAGAATGTAATCCCGGCCCCATCACTGGGATCATCAATCTGTAAATGATGGGGATTTACAGAGATCTTGGGGAGCATACTGAACTTCACACAGTCAAGGTACTAGGGGCGACCAGAAGCAGACACTTGGGTTTCACATGTTTAGAACCATCAACCAGGTCTCAGCTGTGATGGGCAGACTTTGAGCCTAAGCTCTAAAGGAGGAGGCAGCAGGGGTTAGAAAGATCCCATGGGGAAAGGGGGACTCTTTGGAGACAAGAACTAAGGTTTAATCTGGTTGGTTCCTACAAAGTCGCCTTTGGGGTTCCTGCTTTGACCCTACCGTTCATGCCTCATAATCTCCCCCTTACCCTGCGGGAGTGTTTCAGCTGCTGTTCCAAGTTGAAGATCAGGTTGGTGTGAGCACTGTGCCGCTCAATCAGCATTGTCATATTCCCCAGGGCATTGTGGACCCTGGAGATACAATGTGCCAGTAAGTGGACTGGAGGGAGCAGAAGGAGGCGCAGTGCAGGGAACGGGGCCACTCACCGCTGGGCCTTGCTCTTCATCTGCAGGATCATCTGCTGCTGCAGCAGCACGAAGGTGTCCAGGAAGTCTAGGAAGGTCTTGGGGGTGACGAGTGGCAATTCAGGGCACAGGTGTCCATGGTAGCTGGCAGCCGAAAGGTGGATGAGAGCCATGGCTTTGGCCACACTGGGAATTGAGGCCTGGAGGTCTGGGNGGGACTCTTGCCCAACTTTCCTTTCACAGACAGCCCTGGGAACAGTGGGCAAAAAACATACTATTTATCAGAACCCAGGGTAGCTGAACAACAGATTGTCCCTGAACTCCAGAGCCAGTGAAATAATGCTAATCATTTGCCTTACTATCTCTGTCTGGCATTAGACGGTACATGCTAGAGACTAATACACCGTATGTGTGTTTCTTACCCTTTCCCAGTTTCTAAGCAGGAATTGTAGTTATCTGGGGTTGATTTTGCTTCACTTTGCATATCAGGTATGTCAATGTGGTGTGATGGCGTATGCACTGTCATAGGTTACAGAAGCATGAAGACCCTCATCCAGATCTGATCAAGAGCAATGAGCACCATTCAGAGTTCCCGGACTCAGAATCAAACGCAGCAGCTAGAAGTTTCTTCAGGGTGTCTCTTATTAGAGAGGGAGTGGGTTAATGTATAGTTGCACATGGGATAATTCTGTAATAGGCGTTTTTGTAATGGTGTGTGGGTGCGATGGAAAGTAGTGCTGGGTAGCCAAGGGATGGGCTGTAATAATGGTAGCGACACTATATTAGTAGTAATAATGACTAACATTTTGGAGAACTTATTACGTATTAGGCATTGTGTGAACCCATTTTACATGAATTACCATACTTAATACTCACAATACTTTATGAGGTGCGTATAATTAAGACCCTTATTTTACCAGCAAATAAACTTAGGTTTAGAGAGATTAGGTGCCCTGCCTTAGGTCAATAGCTCGCAAAGGACAGATGTTTGACCCAGATAGCCTGATGACAGAGCCTATGTTACAGATGCCTTTATTATACACCTTCCATTGGAGATGTCTGTTATTTTCACCAGTGCAACCCTTAGCCCCTTCTTCTGGGGAATAAACACCCTCGTTTCCTTTCCCTAGGAAATGCTCCTTCCGACACTCACACAGATGGGTCCCTGATCCAAGCAGAGCCAACACAAGTATTTCCCCAGAATTCCTGAACATAGGACAAATTTGGTAGTAAAGCTCTGAGTTGTAGGACAAGTTTCCAGTAGTGCTGACCAGACCAAGGAAGTGGAAGATCATGGACTGGTCAGCCATGTAGATTCAGAATCATTGTAACACGGGCCAAAAAATGTAAATGTGACCTAATTTATAAATAGCTTGTAGGCTGGTGAAATCTGGGATGCCTGGTCACAAAAATTTGGTGTCTTCATTATAAAAGGGAAGATCACATGTGGCTAGAGTGTTGGGCACTTCAGACACCTGAGAAGCATTGTGATTATTATCCCTGGCTTTACCTCTGTCCATGGTGGGACCTGGGGCCGAGCATCTAGTCTCTTCCAGAGGCAGTGGGTTCAGCCAGATGAGGGCCTGGTTGCTGGGGTCAAGGAGCAGAGGCCAACGGCAACTGAAGTAGTGGGTGCGACTTCGCAGAAGCAGGCCTGCCAGGCGGGCTGACTTTGCCTGGGGCTTCAGGTCTCGGTCCCACTGGAACTGTTCGGATTCAGAGCTCAGCAAGGACAGAAGGCTGAAGGGAGAGCATGTGGCAAGCAGGGGTTTCTTTGGTGGCACGGTGACAGATTTCTGATTCTGCTTCAGTGCCTGTGCCACATCATCCGGGCCCAGGGTCTCCTGAAAGCCCCTACACAGAGCCAGCCACTTGTCCAGTAGCTCCTGGCGCCGCAGTGGCGGGAAGGGACCCAGGTAGACAATGGCAGCTGAACACAGGAGGGCATCTCCAAACACAGTCATGCAGTGCCCCTTTAACTTCTGGTGTGGAAGGAAAGACCAGAGGGTGTATTGGCCAGTGAGGAGGGTATAGGCAGAGAGTCTGGCAGAGAGGGAGCAAGGCAGGTGTGGAGGAAAGCATGGCAAGGAGGGCAGAGTGGGACAGAGGGAGGCAGTGGGGGCACAGGGAGGAGCAGAGGCGTGCAGGCAGTGGTGCAAAATGAACTTTTGGGGTAAATCTGGGAGGGGCTGATTACCTGGAGCTCTGTAGTCCAGGAATGCATGGGCGTGAGCAGTGCAGCTTTTATGGGCCACTTGTGATACTGGCCACACTGAGCCAAACTGAGATTCTCTACCAGATGGTTATGGGAAGCCTGGGCATCTTCCAGCTTCTTGGTCAGGGCCAAATTGTGCTCTAGGATCTCCTGAGCCTGGAACTGGTAGTGGGCCAGGCGCGCCTGCTCCCGAGCCAGTGTCGCCTCTACCTGCCGCAGTAGCAGAGCCGTGGGCAGCTCTCGGTGTTGTGCCAGCCTGTAGTGCAGAACGGCCCAGAGCCAGGCTGCCAGGTTTGCTGCAGGTATGCTTACTGCCCGCAAGGCTGCATCGCTCATACCTAGAGCCTTCAGAGCCAGGTTTAACTTTATCACCTCTGAGTCCGTCATCTTCTCCTTGGGGAAGAACACCAGCTCCTGGGAGAGTGTGTGTTAAAGGGGGCGGGGGAAGACACAGATGCTCGGAACCTTGTCCCAGCAGCCTCATCCTGCCGAGTTGCCCCTTTATGCCTCCGCTCTCCTCACTCATTGTGCCCCACCTTTCCTACCTGATAAAAGTCCTCAGTGCATAACAGCTGCTTGGCACTGGCCCAGCCTCTTTCACGGTGGAACAGGTCACATAGCGCATCAGTCACCTGGACCACAGGTTCTGGTGGTGCGCGGTAGCTCCGAATCTCCTCAAAGTCGGCCACCTGCAGCTGGCTCAGGGGCCCCAGAAAGGCCTTGCCCATCTGAATGAGGAGAGATGAACTCTGGAAGTGAGCTCCTGAAATGTCTTCTTCAAGGTATTGCCAAGAGGAATCATCTCCTCCTAGGAGTCCCCATGAAGAGACCATTTCTCAAGCCATCCTATTACCTTTGTCCCCTCCCCCACGAGACTCCATGACAAATCACCCTCTCCTCTCCTCTGCCATCCTATGAGGGGCTGTCCCCTCCCAAGAGAGAGGCAGTGCAGGGCAGGTGACAGGAAGAGCCCACCTGCTCCAGGAAAGCCTCATGCTGAGCCCGCAGGGCATCCGATTGGATGGTCAGGCTCTCAGTGAGGTTCTCCTGCTGCCGACACTCTGCCAGCTGCTGCTTGTATAGGAGCTTGCCTTGCTCTAGCTGCTGCTGAAATGTGCGGAGGTTCTGTGAACAGAGACCCAGGCTGCATCTCCAGATCCTGGACCAGGTGAGAATGCCCCCAAGGGAAGACCCCATGGGCTTGGGACTCCAGCATACTCCTCACTTGATAGTCAGGGTGACCAAGTTGAACTCCAAATAGGCCACAGATATAGACTGAGCTCTGGAATTGTCACTTCTTAGCCTGTGAGTTCTACATCTAGAGATGCAGCCCTGAGTTGGTGGTTGCTTCTCCTGACCTGCCATATAATCTGAATCCAAAGCGTAAGTGCTTGACCATTACGCTACACTCTCTTCCTTGACCCATTAGTGGCATTTGTCACCAAAGATTGCTTGCTCCCTTCCTCTCGAAACATTTTCTTCCGTTGACTTTCATGATACCATGTTCTCCTTTGGCTTTCTCCAACTTCTGTGGCTGCTCTTTCTCAGTCTCTTCCTGTCATCCCTTAAATACTCCTCAGCCATGTTTCTCAGGGCCCTCTTCTCTGCTCAGCCCACACTTCTATGCGCCTTCCCTAATCTCATGGCTCTGATTACCATTGTGTTTTAACAATTCCCAACTTTCTATCTCTAGCCAGATTCTCTCCCAAGCCCCACACACGTACCCATCTGCTTAGTGGAAATCTCTTTCGTGTCCCACAGGCCCCTCAGGCTCCACATGTCCAAAAATGAATCTTTGTCCATGCCTCCTCAGATCTCTTGCAATCTTACTCATCTCTTTCATGTGTTCTTTTTCTTAGAACTATGGCAAAATACACCCAAGTTTCCCAAGGGAGAAACCTGGTTGTTACCTTTACTCCATCTCTTCTATTTCTCCCAAACCCAACCTGTCTTAAAGGCCTTTCAATTCTACCTCCTCAAAGTCTCTCACGCCTATTCCTATCCCCAGTACACATCATGTAAGCCCATGCTCTCACTCCTGACCTACACGGCTTCCTAACTGGTATCGCAGCTTCCACTCGAACTCCCTCCTCTAATCCATTTTCCATGCTGCAGCCTGATTGGTTTTCTGAAAACCAAATCTCATCATCATCATGTTTCTCACCACACTTGCCACTCTTTCATTTTGTTTACAATGACCAGGAGGCCTCTCCTCATCTCTTTTTATTCTCCCAGTACTCTACTCTCCAGCCATTCCTGACTTTTAGTTCCTCCAATGTGACACACATTCTTTTGCCTCTGGGCCTTTGCACATGCTCTTACTTCATTCAGCCTGTGACATTCTTTCTCCCCACCTTTATTTACGCACAATCTTACCTAACCTTTAGGTATCAATTTTGGTGTACTTCATTTGTTTACATATTTAAAGAATGTTTTTGAGTGTCTACCATGCTTTCCATATGGCTCTGTGCTACATACTGTGTCTCTAGAAAGTCTTTCTTGATAATTCAGAGTACCCTAGACTTTCTTTGTCATAACATACTGTTTTGTAATTGACTGGATTAGTTTATATCTTCCAGTAAACTAGAAACAATAAAGGCAAGGACAGTGCCTTATCTTTCTTATTAGCAGGCACTCCAGCCTAATATTAATAGTAGCTAACATTTATTAAGTTCTTACTATATGCCAGCATTTTAAAATGCCTTCATGTAAGATTTCACTTAATTCTCATCCTAATCTCTCTGGATTTCAGTTTTCTCACCTGTAAAATAGGAAAAGGTACAGCTATTTCAGAAAGCTGTGGCAAGGATTCTATCTATCTATATCTATCTATCTATCTATCTATCTATCTATCTATCTATCTATCTGGTTATAAACATAGATGTAAATATTAATTAGTGCCTGGACCAAAGAATGTAGAGTTCAATTAATTTTTGTTGAGTACAGTAATGAATAAATGAACAAAAT